AGAGGGAGAAGAACGACCCAACCGTTTTGGGGGATCGCAAAGCCAACCGTGTTGGATCGCAGCAGGGTCGAAGAAAGCGGGGCAAAGACCCCGTGGCTTTTGGAAAGCGCGCGGTCCAATCAGAATCCGTCCTATTCCATCGGCCATCATGACATGGTTCTGACTTGTTAGTTGCGTCCTTCATCCCAACTACTCAAACACGACCCCATCCAAGGTGTGAGACCCCTCCACCTTGGCTCACCCCACCAGCAACTCACCTTGATCTACTTTTGCTGCGTCTCACCTGCCTCACCTCCTCCACCCCTTGGACCTTCGGCCTTAACCCACCGCCCCGGGCACCGGCGCCGCTGGTGCGGTCTGCACCGAGCGACGGTGCAGCGGTCCTGACTCACTCCCCCGTCCAGCTGCACCTCAGTGCGAGGAGAGGAGGAGCCCCGCCCCTCCTTCCGCCGTGAGACCCACTGGTATGACAGGGGAGGACTCACCAGGCCGTCCGGCCAGGCGGAAGGCCTTCACCTATAGGTCCCGTCCGACCCGGTCAGTGCAAGTCCGGAGCACCTGCGTGTTTGGGCGGTCTTTGACCACGTAGGGTAAGGTCTCCAAGGGAAAACCCTTCGCACCAAGCTCGCGCGGTCTTCGATACAAAGGACCCGGCGGGGGGAGGGGGGCGAACGTCGACGTGGGGGAGGCTCTGACCCCACGGTTTTCTGGGCTCAGAACAGAATGCTCAGAAAACAGGATGTTCCTCCTACCAACAGAGGTTGAAGGACCCTAGTTCGACTATCCCATAGGTACTCCAGGTGACGGAGTCCTAGTTCAGGTCACTTACAGTAACCTCTCTTGGATACTTCGGTGCCCAAAGTCTCGTCCTTTTTGGGGGAGGGCTTCTGGGAGCCTCCGTCCATCACCTGCAGGTTCACCCCATCCCGGTCACGCCCAGCCCAGCCCATGCGTTCGAGGAGCTGAGTAGGTGGACTCGAACTGATCCGTCCAGGTGCCAATCCTCGGACCACAGCGAAGCTCTGGTCCACCAAGGACCTCCATTGGACACCCCTTGAAGGTCCAGGAGTATTCACTATAAGAGTACTTTTCCCTAGAAGTCCAGTTCGACGATATTTTGACCGGCTGAAGTAAAGGAAGTTCCCAGATTCAGTTCCCCGTTCGTCAGACCGTTGCTTTTTATCGTCGAGCTTGACTCCCAGGGTTTGGCACCCGGCAGTGACCGGCCACCGGCTCCCCGGACTGGTGACCGTCCGACGGTTCGGAGCGGACGAACGACCTAAGGGACACCCAGAGAGGTGGTGGTTGGTGACCTGAAACAAAGGGGGCAGGCACATCACCGACGAACAGTCGGGTTGTTCAACCTCTGGTTGGGCACGAAGCTGACAGGACCAATGGACCTCTGCCATCCACGTGGGTTTCGGACTTACTCCGGGGAGCGTGTCGCTTCACAAAATGAAATGGATTATGTTTAATTCTTTCTTGAGTTATGTCATTACATGCCATTAATGTCAATTGTACCAGCACCTTCCAACTCTCCTCTAGAGGGTTGGGCCCTAACAGGTCTCAATTGGTGACCTGTAGAGCCGGGTGCTGGTATATAAACCTTAGAAGTCAAAGACCATTTTAAAAATGGGAACGATCTGGTTTTGTAGTGTAAAACCCTTAGTGAAACAGCTCGGTTCTTTGGGATGACCCGGCTATTAAAACAAGGGTGGGCCACGACTTCTAGGATCAGCAACAGAAATCCCTCATCCAACCGCCCCATTCGGCCCAGCGACACCCACTCAAGGAGCTCCAAGTTCTCACGGACCTTGTCATCCGAATCCTCGGGTGGAGACAACCTCCAAAATCTGGTCGTTTCTGATCGTAAATAGGACCCGTCACCTGGGGTACCCAACTGGGATAGTCGAACAGTCGGGTTCTTGAACCTCCGTTGATTGGTCCCTTTCAACTTTCAACAATTTGCTGGAGAATGGGTCGTTCATTTTGGGACCCACTCACAAAACCCTTAGACTTCAAAGACCATTAAAGAAGATTGTTGACCTGGTTCTGTAGTGTCAAATCCTTAGCTGGTTCGGGATTCAGCCTATTAAATTAATGGTGGGCCAGGAAGCCGAACGGGAAAAACACACAGGTCGACCGGTCGTGGATTGGTTGAGTGTCTCCCAACTGAGTCCTGCCGAGTCCTCACCTGGCCAAAGAGACGAGTCGCTTCCACGTTGTTTCTCTTCCAACAGAGGTTGAAGGACCCTATAGCCTATCCCATAGGTACCCCAGTAAGGTCCTAGTTCAGGTCACTGGCTACCTCTCTTGGACTGTCCTTCTCACGTCGGCTCTTGCCCCCAAATTCGGCCGAACTGGACCTGAAGAGTCGGGGTCTCACCATCCATCGGACACCCACTGGACGCGCGAAGGGAACCACAACCCATTGAGTCTGGCTGACCAGGCCGTTGCGAATCGATCAAGGGAGTGAGCCAGAAAACCGCCACGTGGCTCGCCGTCCTCGGTGGGGCCTGGAAAATGAGAGTGTGTTGACCCCTAACAAAGTCATCAGTCATTAGAGCCAGTTCAGAGGCACCCGAAAATCACATCCAGGCACCCCGGATGTTCCTGAATGTAGAGATATTTCTCGAGGACTCTCCCAGACATGCATGGTGAAACCTCTTCTGCCTGGAGAGATTTGATTCATCCACCGTCTACACGACTGGTTGCAGTCAGTCAGTCACCTCAGGGGCCCATCACCCTTCTCTCAGCAGGACGCTTGGGCGCTTGCTCTGCCCCAACCTGAGCTCCCAGGTGCAGGGTCGAACCTTCCCGGGTGCGGGGTCGACCTGACCATCAGACATGATGGCCCTTATGCCTCAAGTCTCTGATGGCCGCGTAGGTCTGAACAGCCGGACCGCTGTTTCATGGCAGAATTCAGGTGACACCTTCAGCTTCTAAACTTTGGCACCCAGGCTGTGGACGCTGTGAGTCAGCCCTGGACCACCGAAAATGAACTGAATATATGACTACTAGAGAGGTCAAAGTACTGGTCAAAGTTTATATAACAGGTCTCCGAAGCAGGAGATAAACTGCTGGCTCTCATTGTGCGCTTTGGGATTCATGCGTGCATGGCTGGCGGTTCATTCAGTGGCCCCTGTGGTTTTCTCAATCTCATGCGGCTCCAAACATCCTAACAAAATTCCCTCTTCGAAAGGGAAGATAGGCTCCCCCGGAGTTAATCCCAACCTCTGGAAACGGTCCTCCTCCTCCTCCTCCTCTTCCTCCTCCTCCTCCTCTTCCTCCTCCTCCTCCATGCGCAACACGAGGAAGGCAAGGCACCTGGCATCTTCTGCTTGTGAGAATCGACCTGAGGGCCGCTTCCCGTGTCGTCCGGCGGGTCGTCCTCTCGTCGCTGTGGGGCTGTCCGGAGTCGGCCGAAAGACCCCGGTCATGATTCACTCATGACGATGCTGGTAGTCCTGCTACTTAGTGATGGTGGTACATGGTGGCACATGGTGGTACATGGTCCGTGGTTGTGACTTTTGATCATGATGATCATCACACGCATGACGAAGGGATGTGTTCGTGCCCAGTGAGGAGTTCGGAACATCCCCTCATCGCATGCCGCCGTACAAGCGCTGGGGTTTGGTCACCCGGGTTTGCAGAAAGTCACCGGCTTGCGAAAAGTCATCCAGACGACTTTCTACAAGGACAGACGACTTAACACAGGTACTAGCTCTTCGATTTCTGAGTTGGTTCGGGGTTCGCGGCCTCTCCTTTGTCGGGCATTCTGATGGTGGGACTGGGAGCACAGAAAGAGGACTAGTGACTGGAGAGGGATCAAATTCGTGTTGCAGATTCCCATGTGGTCAAGGACATTTCCCCGGAACACACCCAAAAACGGCGGCAGCCCACCCAAACCCTCCAAGCACTTGGAGTATGCTGATTGGAAACCAGGAAAAATAAACATATTCCCTAGAAGTCCAAAGACTATATATTGACCGGCCGAAGTAAAGGAAGTTCCCTTTCAGGTCCCCTAAAGACCATTCTTTTGATAGTCTTTGACTCCCAGGGTATTCATCATCTTCTCCAGAAGGGGATTCACCCACGGGTCAAAATCAATCACCAAGCAAAGCCTTCCAAACCCTTCAAGCCATGGCGCCTGACAGTCGCCTCCCGCTTGTGTTCAGCAGAGGCACTGCGATATGTTTTGGGATGGCGACACCTATATGACTCTCGGACTCTGGGTTTCTGTTTTGCTGGTTTGATGCTGTTTCTCCAGTCCTCGTACAATACTTAGAAAATCGAAGAAATAGTCCAAGCAACCAATCTGCGCTCTCTTACAAGTCAGGAGCGTGTCTGCTTGTCTCAATCTCCCCTGCGTGTCTTCCTTTGGAAGCCTGTAGGGTCTCTTCTGAACTCTTGTTGCATCCACTCCAATCATGTTCATCTGCCTAAGCCTTGAGCCGGCGCAGGTCAAAGAAACCGTACCAATTCATGCAGAACACCATGATTTCTCATGGATCCGAATTGGCATGGATCAACGTACGGGGTGGGACGTGAACACGCTTTCAGGCACTAGGCTTCCAACAACCATTGATGTATTGTTTTTAACGAACAACCGAGCTGTTTTACTGATTTCACACTACCAAACAAGGTCAACCATTCCTTTAATGGTCTAGGTGAGGGCGCTTTGGAAGATGCCTCACATGCTGCAAAGGTTCAGCGTTTTCCTCCCTCGCTCAAGGTGAAGTAATTGCCCTGTTGTTCAACAAATAGGACTAGATCAAATCAACAAGACTGAAAGGAGATCAAGACATCCTCATCTCGCTGCTTGACTCAAGCATCAAACAGGTCAATCAAGCCTGTAGAAAGAAGAGGAAACCTCCAACTCTTCCAGCGTCAAGCAGGTCAACCAACTCCAACTGCCATGAGCTGCCACACACCAAAGTTACAGAAGCACACACACACGCACCCCTCCCCCCATCCTGAGCCCATCCTGAGCGCCTGGCCCGCACGAGAAGGGTCAACCACGGCCACCACCTTGTTGTGCGGCACGCGGAAAAAATGCACAGCCGGCATCTGGACACAAGTCTTGACGGAGTCCTTTTCACAGTGGGTCCACAAGGATTTTGCCTGCAGCTGACTTGGCGTACGCCCTAAGCACGCGCGAAACATCCCGAAACATAGTGACCCCCAAATTTCAACGCGACGGAGGAGTCTACTGTAGACTCTTTGATTCATAAAGAACCCCCTGATTTGGAGTGTAAAACATCTTCATTAGGGGGTTTGAAATATGATCAAGCGTCGACATTGTTGCCGATGTGTCCATTCCACGGGCGAACACGGACGAGTTCACAGGTGGTCAAAGAGAAAGCTCCAAACACTCCAAGCAAGACCTTCCTGTCGGGGTGCCCTGGCTGGAGATCCATTAGTCGTGTAGTGGCTTTCAGCCAGGTGACCCTGAAAGGAAGATGCATGGAGGTGTGCAATTTATACCCTAGGGCTCCTGGCCCACCTCCTGAGAAGATGGTTGGGTGGATTTGGGGGGTCTAACCCCCTGCTGAGGAGATGGGCCAGGAGCCCTAGGGATAGTAGGAGGGCACCCTTTCTCGCCCCTGCCGATCGGTGGCTGAGAACTTTTGAACCAAACCCGGTTGGAACGCCACGCATGCGGTTCGGTCATTGTCAGGCACACAAGTCGTCCCCCGGCTGTCCGGCGTGGGGGACCGTGTTTTCGGTCCACCCGTTTGGTGAGGAAGCGATGCATGAAGAACAGCCAGAGCCCTTGATCTCCTGGTCTGCAACAAGTCAGGGCATGCGTCCTGGGTCCGAGCATGAGCATCTCGGAGGTGGAGGCGTCCGCAGGGCTAACTGCACACACCTATCACCTGAAGAAGATGGAGTCGTTGAGATTCCCCATCTCAGCATATTCAGGCAAATATGAAACATCTCTAGCCTGACCAGGTCAAGACCATCAAAGGAGTTCCATTGGCCGGGTCTCCTAAAAATGTTGAAAACCCACGACATCAATGGTGGCTCAAACCTTAGGGAACGGTAAGGGAATGTAACAACTTGCCAAAAAGTTCTTGAATACCCACACAACCCCCCAATCACGGCACTGCACTTCTTCACGAACCCCGCAGCATGAAGTCCACGCCATGAACGCGCCTCTTTGGATGGATCCATGTCACCCAGGATCTTCGGCACCAACTCCTCTGCCTTCCCCGCCTGTCTCGCACGCAGAAGAAAGCTCTCTGGCGGCCCAAGGGCACTCAGAAGCCCATTAAGGCTGAAGACTGGACTTTGGAGGGGGCGTGATGTGGATGGCGGGCTCCAAGGCAAACCATGAGACGTGATGTGGGATTCTCACTCGGCCACGCTCGAGATTGGCTAGGAATTGGTGGCACATGTAGCGCCGCCTGATTCCACAGAGTATGATGTGGAATCCAACTGCATGCTCTTGCGTAACATCCAGCAAACGAACAAAAGACCCGGGCCCAAATGTTCCTCATGCCAATGTTTGTGCACCCTTGAAACAACCAAAAGGGCATAGTTGTTACATGTTGTTACCCTCCCGCAAACTAACATGGAACCTGAGAATTGACCGGTGGAAAACGATGTTCATCTACAACCCAGTGGTTTTCGGGTTCCATGTTGCAGGTGAGTAAGGTGTTCCACTCCTAGAGACCTGGAATGGAATGGGGGACACCGTATCTCGCGGCGTCAAGCCAACTGAAATATGAACCGAATATATCCTCCCTGGCGGTTCACCGTCCCGGCTGTTCGTTAAAACTCTGCCACCAACATCCACCAAGTAGACTTAAAGGCCCAGCAAGCCACAAATTGGGCAAGCGTGAAAAAGCAGGTCCAAACTCCAAGTCCAAGGTTCCTGAAGTGGCCAAGTCCAAAGCATGCCTAACTCCGTTACGGCTCGGTTTTCAAGCGAAAGATGGAAACATCCCTGGGCTCTCCGAATAATCAATCCTCGGGTCCAGCTGGAGCTGTCTCCAGTCCCGCTGTTCCCTCCAGGCAGCCAGGAACTCCGTGTTGCTGATGGCATTCTGCTCCGCATTCCGTCTAGCATCCTCACGCATGTCACGCACGACGCGTCTGAGAACAGGAATACCTGGCCTTCAGCCAGAAAATTGGAGAGGAATCCTTCCATTGCCTCGAAATGTTCACCTAGGGTTCGTGGCCCACCGTGGACTTTCATGCGTTGATAATCCCGAACCATCGTCATTCTTTAAGTCGGTCTTGGAAGGCTAGCCTAAGGCTAGGCTGTTGATGAAGAATCTCTCCCATCTGGAGAGGGAATCCAGACGTGGAAGTGATTCATCAACAGTGTACATTACATAGTTGCTGGCCGGAGTTGGTACAAAATCTCATTCCATCCCATTCAACCGATATCAACTGATAGCTGATGTGGTGGCTGATGGTTAGTCAGTTGGGGCCGGGTTCCTCCAAAATCATGACGAAGCTGCACCGACCAGGATGGAAGGAAATGGCAAGCATGGGAGCCCAAAAAACTTCTAATTAAGACTCTTGATTCAAAGTGCCCATGGATTGGGGGGTCTTATTCACCACAAGCCTACCAGCCTCCTTCCTAGTGGCTTTTGCAGACTTAAAAGTCGCAAGTGGTGACCTGTGAAGCCGACTCCACCGTCCTGGCGGCAGATCACTTCCGACTTTCCACGTACTCCATCGACCCATCTAACCATCTCCAGCTTTTGAGTTGGGATGTGCAAGAGGATCCCTGATCGCCCCCTCCCTCGCAGCTTGCCCGACATCCACCGTCCTCCCCGACTGCCCATGTCTGGCGCACAGCCATCACCGCACCCCCAACCGCCACAGCGGCCACATCCTCGATGTTTTCTTCCACCACGTCGACGCCGATGACCTCGTCGTGGGTCCGTGGGTCCGGCGGGTCGCCGTGGTGCCACGGAGAGTGCAGTCCAACCCTCCAACAGGTCACAGGTCATGCTACCCCACCGTGAGGAGACCTGTATATACCAGCACCCTCCAACAGGCTGTTTGGAGACCCTAACAAGTGGTTTCTGGGCACCTGTTGTCACCAGGAAGCACCTGTTGGAGGGTGCTGGTATATATATATATATATAGTGTAACGGGTGCTGCTTTGAGATGCCATTGACTGATCAACATTGAAGAACATCGCAGGGAAAGCCGCATCGTGCGAGAGATCATCACCCAAAGACCGACGTCTGTGTGCCACATGCCGGGGTTTTTTGAGATCATTTTCTCTACAGGGGGCACTTGTCCAAAATCACACACCTCCCCAAACCTCACAAACACCCTGGGAGCCCAAGACCATTTTAGAACTTGACAAAACGTGCCTCCAGCTGACCCAAAGGTCAAAATCTCTGGCCGTGGTGGCCATGGTGCCCAATTTTTTTGAACTGGACTCTGGGACTTGCAAGCAAAAACCGTCTCTCCCATCAATGAGCTCCTCTGGCGCCCGCCCAGCCTCACTCCCAACCCCACCGAACCCCCACCCACCTTCTCGCAGCAATGCGCCGCACAAAGGCCAATGGTGCCGATCCCACAGAAGATGTCCAACAAGATCTGGAGCAGGACGCGGCAGACGCGACCCTCTTTAAAAAGTCGTGTGGCGACTTCACCGGGAGACCAACTGGTTGAATATGGTTGAATTGACCTACCTGAGGCGTTGTCTGAGTCTACATGGTGGAGCAGGGCTCCAGGTTTGGGCGCATCCCCATGTGTCCCCATGTGTTCTCTCTCTCTCTCTCTCTCTCTTGGGGGAAGGCGTTGGACTTGCGGTCCTCTATTCCTGTCATCATGTCCACCTAGCAAGAAAGTCGAAGGAGCTCTTGAAATTTGTCAACTCAACAGTCCCCCCCGTCAAGGGGTCGCAGCACTGCTGCCGTGGCCTCGGTCTTCTTGAGGTTCAGAAACCTCAGAGTTTCTCGCGCTTCTGACCCGTCAAACTCCGGGCACCACAAGACATGCCACTTCGGCGGGTGACGAGTTTCCCGGACTTCCATGAGATTCCATTGCCCTCTCAGGCTGCTCACGCAGCTGGGCGAACGATAGTGCTGCATCCGGGTGTGTGCGTGTGTGTGTGTGACCCATCCTTCTACCTGTCACTCTAAGTCCACCTACAGTATATGCAAAACACCCAGCCAAAGCGCCGCCCAGCCAAAAGCACCCAAATCGAACATCCCAAGCGGCGCCAGAGCGGTTTCCATCAGGAACCGGCAGGTCGTGGTGTTGGGGTTGAAGAAGGACCTCAAAGGTCAGCTGGACATGACACAGGTGGGGGGGGGGGGTCCGGGAGCGACACGCGGACGGGTGGGTGAGGGAGGCGCCTTCCCAAAGCATGTCCCCCTTCCATGTGTCCATGAGTCACAGGGTAGTGGTCTTCATGGCGGGCGAGAGTCATGGCATGATGATCTCCACCACATGGCACGCTAAAAACTTCACAGACCTGGTCTTGTCTAGAATTCTGGGTGCAACAATGGTTGTTCGATGTTCTTCCGCCAAGCTCGTTCAATCAATGAACCACCATGAACCACCTATTGGTTTTGGGGAAAGGACTTGGAAAGGACCAGAAGTGAAGTCCTCCATCTCAAGCCCCAGTCTGAAGGTGACATCCAAATTCTCTTGCTCCACCCACCCTCTAACGCCCAGTCATCTCTATCTCCCTCCCATCGCCAGCCGTTTCCCAGCCGTTTCCCCACCCAGCCCGTGTCGCCGAGGCGCAAGGGACCCACTTCCAGCTTGAGGCCCAGCATCGGCATCTCCAGCCTCCGCCGCACAGGGTGCGCCACCCGGCGCCACACCGCCGCACGGCGCGGAGCCCCGCCACGGTCGGGCCGAGCCGCCGCCGGCGCCGCCACGGGGGATGGGGACCCCTTCCTACCTGCAAGGGAGCCCGAGATGCAAATATCCACCCCTTACCAACGGAGGTAGGTGAAGTGACCGTCAACAGGACCCGGAACACCTGGGGACCCGGTTACCCTGCGATAGTCGAAGGGCGTCGGGTTCTGACCCACCGAACAGTTGGTATATCTTAGCACCCGAACTTCACCACCGGTCGGAGACCGATCGTCGGATGCCTCGGTGCCAGCTCCATCAGTTGGGCCGGCATAGCTACAGAGGTAGCCAGTGACCGTAAATAGGACCCTAGAGGAGTACCCAACTAGGATAGTCTTTGGGGTTCTTCAACCTCTGCTGGTAGCTCTTGCCGCATGGAGTTCCATGACTCGATGTGTTCTTGCCCTTCGCTCCCCGCTCCCTGCCGTGTTTCCGGTCCGGCCTGGGCTTCCCATGAACTTGCGTCACCTGGGCGCACGTGGGGTCAAGTCGGTGGGTTCTTACCAACTGGACAGACAGTCCACGGAAGTTCCAGGTCTGCCTTCAAGTTCCTTGAGTCCTTGTTTTACCGGCTTGGAGGTTCTTAGAGCCTTTGTTTGAGTTTTTTCAGAGTACCGCATACCAGTATGGTAGACAGCATCAGGTGGTCAAAAAAACAAAAAAAACTCCCTGAATGGCCTGGGAATGTGAACGGCTTAGGGACTGGGACGCCAAGCAAATACAAGCTTAAGGGAAGATCTGAGGAATCAGCCACTTCGATGATCGGCAGCTGCCGGCCCAGATGTTGGTCCATCTTACAAAAGCCTGTTCTAAGCTTTCTAAGTCGACTCGTCGACATGTGCCTCCCAAGGTATTCGATGAGGCTCGGCTTCATGATGCCACCTGGTGCCAACAGAGGTAGCCAGTGACCGTAAAGGGGACCCATAACCTGGGGTACCCTGGCCTAGGATCGTCGAACTCTCTGCTGGTTCCATCCACACACCCGGGCGTCCCACCGGGGCGCCGCGCCAGCGCCGTGGGGCGTGCCGCGTCGGTGACCTGCACGAAGGCGGGGACGAACGGAGCCTGAACAGGTTCAGGGGGCTGAACCATCCAGGAGCCTCCAACATCTCCAACCCTCCAAGAGGTGTCGATAGCTTGGCCTCTTTAAAGGTTAAGAGTTGAGAGGTGTCCCCAAAACCACCTGTTGGAGGGTCCTGGAAGGGATGAAATTTCAGTGGGGGGACCTTCCAACAATTGACCCGGATGAAGAAAAATAACACGACACGCGACACCTCCATCGATGGCCCAGGCCGCGCGACCCGACCAAGTTCCTCAGGTAATACCTTCTCAAAGCCATCGGACCCGAGCCGCGGTACGGGAGAGGTCGACTCAATTTCTAGGTGAAGCTTTGAGGATGTCTACATGCCTTGGCATTCCAACCGCCGATGAAAACGTGTCACGGGTTGGAATCCCGAGGGGCCGTTGCACGGGTTGGATGTTCGATTAGATCCTAGGCTTCCAAGACCATTTAAAAAATGGTTGACCTGGTTTTTGTAGTGTAAAATCCTCAGTTGATTCGGTAAAGCCTATTAAATTAATGGTTGTTGGAAGCCTAGGGTAGAAGCACACTGAATCGGTCAAGCGAGCTCGCTCCTTCGGTCCTGGGCGTCGAGTCACGTCTGGAGTCCAGAGTCCACTGGAGAGCGCAGCGCTGTGAGCTACTAGAGCCCTGGCCTAGTTCGACTATCCTAGTTGGGTACTTCTGGTTTTCCGGGTCCTATGGTCCCGGTCACTGGCTACCTTTGCAGGAGCCCATCAGCCCTGATGTGCTCGTGAAGGTGCATGATGTCCAGGCCACACTGACCGGACCGGTGAACCAGACCTGACCTACGGATCAGTCCAGTGAAGTCTGGAGAAGATCAGACACAGAACTCTTCCCGTTCGGCTTCCTGGCCCACTATGAATGTAATAGGCTGGTCATCCCGAATCAACGGATTTCCCACTACAAAAGACCAAAGCCAGGTCCATGGTTATTGGAAGGTCTTGGAAGTCTGGTGCTGAAAGGGGCCCACAAGGGCCATCACAATGGCCCACAGAAGCGACGACGCATTCCGGCCACGTCCGAACCGAAGGAGGCCGACCTTCCGAACCCGCCTCATCATTGAACTGTAAAAAGACTGAGGTCACGCCGAGCTTCTCCAGCTCTGGCAGCAGTGGCTCCACCTAGGAGCCGTTTTCAAACTCTTCGCTCATAGCCAAGTGGGCCAGGAAGGCTATGACAACATCTGAGGACCTGTGATCACCTGAAAAACCGGTTCTGACTGCTTGAGGCCACCACGAAGTTGGCACGGTCCTCCTCGGACAAGCTGGTGGTCTGAAACATCACCAACCTGACCAAGATCTGGACCGTCCGCGGCCGTGCGGGTCCAGTGCGCGATCCAAGGTGCGATCCCCACCGCGAAGGTTTGGAGGGATCGAGGCGTCGGGTCACCCGAAAGGTGGGGATCAGAATAAACCAGAAATCCAAAGCTGTTCACAAGAAGTGACGGGGACCAGATGAAGCTGGTGACTTGGTACAGGCCGAACGGACATCTAAATTGAAAAGGTGGATACGGTGGATACATGACATGGTGCATCCATCACTGTGAAACTCCGGTTTCACTTGGTTTGCTATCATCTCCACTTCTCCATTTGCTGCTCCAGCTTGTGAACCCACTTGGTAGAGCACACATGCATCATATGCCACAAAAATGCGCCACAAAAATGCACCACCCCGGAAACGCCAAGTGTTATATATATATATATAAATTTGTATACCCTGCAAGTCCAAAGACTATAATGACTATATTTGTCCACATTGTGCCACCTTGAAGTAAAGGATGTTCCTTTTGGGTCACCTAATTACAGACTCATTTGACAAATTGTATGCAGAGGGTACATCTGGCACGGGCACATATCGATCATATCACATGGTTCAACCTTGGCGCCACCTGTGGTTCACCCTGGGCTCCCCAACATCTCATTGGACGGATTCACGCGCGCCAGCAGGGTGCGCCAAACGCCTTTGCGCTGGCCCTCCTGGCGCCCGCGGCAGCGGCCCAAAGGCACGCGGAGCTTGTGCGGGTTGTGTGAGTGAAAGCTTGTGAGGTCAACGGGTCCGTTCGAAAAGGGGCAGATCTGGAGCAGGGTGCTGAAACAAACGTGATGAGTGACTCAGCTGGGCACTGGGCCTACAAGGCTTGAGAGGTAGGCCCTAGAAGTCCAGTTCAACTTGTTCCTTTGTGAAGTCAAGGAATATCCCAAAATCACATCCCCCCTGGTCAGACCCTTCAGAGTCAGAAGACTCTGTCGATCGGCTTCCGGCCGCGCGCTTCCGCCGCAACTGGGTGTCCGACAACTCCACGGAGTGGTTCGTCTCAGGGTTGATGAGTTCATAGGTCATAGGACAACTCGTAGGGGCCAAAGAGACCCGGGGCCCGCAGGTCTTCATGAACCATAGGGACCATGAACCATAGAGACCAGGTCTTCATGAACCTATGTCTCATGAGCTTCCAGGGCCAAAAGAGACCCCCCCCCCAGGTCTTCATGGCCATTCTTCCATCATGATATGGCCGACAGGGCCCAAGAAGAGTCCGCTGCAGAGTGAGTTCAACTCCCCAGGGCCCGCGCACAGTGGAACTGAATTGCTTTTGGTCCGAGCAGTGGTGATCGAGATCGACGGAGTCCACTGCGCCACGCCACGGGGCACATGGCCGTGCTGAAGAGCCAGTGTCGGCGGATTCCGCCGAGGTCGGGTTGAGGGTCTTAGATGGTGGAGCCAAGACAAGCTTGCGAAGCATCCAAAACAAGCTTGGCTTCACATTGCCAGAACTTCTGGTTTGATTCATTTCACCTACCCCACCTGGAAGTCATAATCCATCACTCCCAGTTCGGGGTAAAATGAGTCATGACTGGACTCAGCACTCACATCCACGTCGTCGACCTTCCCAGCATTCGGTGGACAGCTCTCCCTGCGGTCGTAGATGGGAAAGCTCGACTTGGCGACCAGCGACGACACCTCGGCAGTCCCAGAGTTTTTGGGCCCCCCTGAAGACTAGGAAGTGCTCCTTTTTTCGGGTCACCTAGTGAAACATAGTCAAACCATGTTGAAAAATCGTGGAGGGACGTGCAAACTTGCCAAAAAGAATCTGCTTCCTGACGTTCAAAAAGGGTTTAACATGGTTTAACAGCCCTTTACATAGCCCATCCCATATGTACCACTACAGGGTCCTAGCTCAGGTCTCTCAACCTCTCTTCTGTCCAAGAGGCCCTCCAATGCCATGCCCGCAACGTCACTGCGCCAGGACTTGGCGCCCCAGCCATGGCGCAAAGTCTCTGCATTGGCGCGGGCACCAGCCTCAGCGCGGGCAGCGAGAAGCGCTCTGAAGCTGGAAACCCAGCAGACTCAAATTGACAGTGTGTCCAAAGCAGGGGGGCCTCCCAAAGAATCAACGGAATAGACTACTAGGGAGGGTCAAGCCGGGTTTGGAGCTCTAGGTTTCAAGATCCAAAGCCCCAAATCTCCAGATCCAGCTGGTTCGTCACTTCGCGGTGGAGTCCAAGCCTCTCTGTCACTGACCAACACAGTGATCCGGTCGCCCCAAACGAAGGGAGATCCGGTCACGCACCAGCTCGAGCCCTCGCCACCCCAAAGGGGTCAGCGTCTCGGACGCCCAGCTGAGGTGAACCTGCCTTTCGATCACACCGATGAACCCGAACGCCTCTCAGCGTTTCCTGCCAGGCGCTACCAGCCACCACTTGGGGCTCCCCAGCGGCACCTCCTGAATGCTGCCGATCACCTGCTGGGAGCTGCACATGACATTGGGGTGGTTGGAGGGGTCAATGTCGGCATATATTCAATATAGTGGATTGAGAGTAGATGGCACAGACCCCAAGAGGTGGTTTATATGGATCCCCATCTAAAGGACATCATGGGGTCTGTGCCATCTACTCTGAAACCACTGTACATGGATGGTCTGGGCTCTTAATGGTCTTCAGATGGCCCGAGGATGGCCCGAGGAACACTTTGCCAGATCCGATGCAAAACCGTCTCATTCTCATCGCTCCTCACCTGAGCTCCATCAGGCAAGATCTTCAAGATGAAGCCCACCTCCACCTCCTTGGCCCACTTCCATCTTCGATCTCTCTTTCTGTCCCAACCGCCCAGCCCAAGAACCAAACTCCAACAAATCATGGGAGATTTCAGAACTAGGGTGTCGAAACTCATTCCACGCACCTTTCTTCCGCATTCGGCCACCATTCTTCCCCCCAAAAAAGGGATTTCTCTTCGACTTCCAGCCACCGTTTCCTCGTGGTCCGCCCCTCCTTCCGGCCGTTCCCCCGGGCGTCGTTTCCAGCGGCTCCGGCGCGCGACGCGACGACGAGCGGCTCCCCGCGGATCGCGGCCGATGGTGAACCTCGGAGCATGCGGTGTTCGGGCAGCCCGGAGCATCCCTACAGAGGTTAAGTGACCTTATAGGACCCTACAGGAGTACCTATAGGATAGTCTATAGGGTTCTTCAACCTCTGCTGGTCCGGTTTGGAAGGGAAAAGGACCAAAATGCCAGATGCGGGCTCAAGAACGGATGGGCTCAAGAGTCCATAGGTTGGAAGAGTCACCAGAAGAACTTCTTGGCAGTTCAACTATCGGATCATCCACCAAAAGCCAACAAAGCCTTCCTGAAGTGGTGGCACTGTCTTCGCACCGTATCTGGGTCATCAAATGTATCTGGGCGATTGTCAGGAGAACTTCACATGAAACCTTCAGGACACTTCTGATATTAAGACCACCTTTCTTGGTCCTTCATCTCCCCGCCACCTCCTTCCGAAAGCATCCAGCACCTTCCTTGTTGCTTCGAAATTGCTAGAGGGAACAACTCGAATGGCTGATTTAAAGCCTGATTTGACATGTGTCACTCGTGATACCTCAAACTCTAAAGATTATTCTATAATATATTATATATAAATGACTTTGGGCTACCCGAATCGATCCTCCCTGCGCCCGAGGCCCCCAGCTCACATTTGTTTCGCCAGCCCCTGCAAGCGACAAGTGCCTTTCAATATCTGTGTGTTTCGGTGTCTGTCCTTTATACCTGATTAGAACCACTGTAGTTTGACTGTTTTGACTGGAATACGGTAGACGGTAGACTCTTCATGCGAAGAAATGAGCCCATTGGGGGTCATTGGGCCCAATTCCCACCTAGCCCCAAAAAATGTTGTTTTCAAGTGAGATCCAGTTGGAAGATCTTGGAAGGGGATGCCTTTTGGACAGGGAAAGGAAGTAAAATGGGCCAAGTTCATTGGCGACCGGTGTTCCTCTACAAAAACAGGGGGTTGTCCACTTCCATGTTTGTTCAGTAAACTCATTCGATGGCCCCTTCAGGGTGCACTGCTTGAGCAAGCCGCCGCAAGCAGGGCAAACGCGGCCGCCAGCGCCCCTCTCTTTTTTCGCAGCCACGGGGCGGGTGGCAGTTGCCACTGAGCTGATCTGTGAAGCCCACCATGGAAAGAAGGCAACTCGCATGAGGTGAGGGTGCAAGAGTTCAGTTGAAAAACGCCTACACGGGCGCCCCACCATGACTGTGAAGGCTCCAACCTGGCACCGCATCTATTTCTGAAAAGTGCATGATCCGGTGACCTAGGTGACTGCACCTCTCTCTCCAAAAACACTGCACTGGGCCAGGTGACTGGGCTATGTGTTCTATTCTGCCCAGATGGGTTCAAGGTTCAAGCCATGCTTTGGGTGCGTCCCTTTGTCAGCACCCAGAGGATCATGGTGGTTAGGTTGCAGGCCTTTCCCAAAAACAGTGGTGCCTACTTTTCCGACGGCTACACTCTGACTCACTAACATGGATGGCCCCAAAAGGAAGACCCTTTTCCTCATACTAAACCGGTGGTTTTCCACTTCCATGCTAGTTCCAGGGAGGGTAATGGTTTACAGTTTGCACCGGATACGCCCCATTCATCTTCATTCAAAAAGACTCCCCACGAAGGGATTCTCCACCGAAAAGAACCCAACTCGAAAGGCCCAGGGCCTCCCAGCTGGTGATTGGATGAAGACGTTGATTGGACCTATCCAAAAGATGGAGCCATCTTAAGCACTGAGGCACTTGTCTGCACTGGCCAAGCTTCTGCGATCCCAAGGGTTTAACGTTGTGTGGATGCGTAGGGCATCCATGTAAATTCTCTATAAAGCAAGGGGCTGTTCCGACGACTAAGATACTTAAAGGATGCTCCAGGCGTGCCAATCTGCGATGGGCCTCTCCAACTTGGACGCTCTGTGGCGCAGCTCTGAGCTTGTGCCAGGGGAGACTTGGAACCTCCCGCATTGGTGTGCAATTTGAAGCTTCTAAAGCACTTCTAAGGGTCATTCATTGAGCCATACATGGAGGGGACGGTGTTTCGCTCTGCTTCTCCCGCTACCCTCACTGTCGCCGTGCTGCCCTCGGCCATGTCATGACGAGACCTCTTCCCCCTCACACACCTGCTGGAAGTAAATCATCTTCCGAAACCCGTATCTGTTGGGTCTATCCCATTACCAGTAACAGTGGGCGATGATGGTTAGGTTGCAGGTACTTCTTGACCGGAGCGGGACGAACCGAGCCTCGAGCCATCCGAGCCGGGAAAAGGCGGGATTCCCTTCTTGTACCAAGATCCATTCCCTCCAACTGGGAGCTGCAGAGGGAACCGGAAGCTGTCGAAAAATATGAAAGAGATAGAAGATCTTCTCCAGACCCTACAACATCGGATCAACCTATATAAAGACCCTTCTAAAAAATGGTCCACTGGACTCTCTGGGGACTGCCAAGGCAGCCAAGGCAGAAGGAGATTGACTTGAAAGCTGCCTTCCCCCCCTCCCAAAAGAAGCTTGTCCTTGGAAGATTTGAGGATTGCCCAAAGTCTCCGAACAGTTCTCGATGCCGAACAGGTTCCACCTCGTTGGTGGTTGTTGGTTTGATTGTCTTCTTCCTCGAGTTGGACCGAAGTTGGGAGGCAAAAACGGAGCTCCCAAGGTCCACCCTGGCACAAGTGACATGCAGGGTGGGGCGCTGGGAACCTCTTGTTGCCCAGACCCCGTCTTCGACACCAAAACACGATCAGCGACGGAGCATAGCAGGAATCCAGTCGGAATGAGGTTGAATCCTCCTGAGGTGACATCTGGTGGCTCATTCTTGGGCATCATGGCTTTCGTGATCTCTGTCTTCTTGGTTCGTTCGTTCATTCTACCATTCTTGGGCAGAAAATGCAGCTAACTTCATGCACCTTCCGAAGGGGCGAGGAAACCCTCGTGGGGCCCGATGGCCGCCGATCGCTGAAATCTCCGCTCGCAAGCCCTTTAGTTGTTCTCTCTTGTGGAGCACGTCTCTCAGTGACAGCTAATGCTGACTGAGTGCAGTAGGTGAGATTTCACGCAAAGGTTACAGTTGTATACCCCTTCCGAAACACCTAAACACATCAAAACACCCAGTTTCGAGGGGGGTTCAGTCATGTGCAAGCCTTCCGCTTGGTCGTGTTTCCCCCCTTCCTCTCACTCACCCACTGACAGGCCTTAAATAGCCGAATTTGGTCCCCCTCCAGCCGGGTCGGCTAAACAAGGGACTCACCAATCGTCTCGCGGGCATCGGGCTGAGGCAAAACCACCAGCCGCAGGGTGGATCCCCAGCAGCCCAGAGTCAAGTGGGGAGCTGGATGGAACGATGAAACATCCGAAGCTGTGGAATATTGGGCCACCACGTCCTGGACATCTGAAGCCTGAAAAGGCCTTCCCAAATCTCTCTCCCTTCCAGATCTCGGGCTCCTCCCCTCAAACCCGCACCCAGGCCAAACCTCCTCACCCAAGTCGAAACCGCGCCGGGGCCTCCCGAAAGGCGCCGCGGCTCCCGAACGTCACCGTAGTCGTTTTGCGGTGGCTTCAGGCCGCAGCATGTCACGCGACAAACAGCGTTTGAGCCGGGGCCTATCTTGGATGTCTGACACATCGTGGGTGCTTCCAAAAATGCATCGTTGGAAAGCACAGAAGGTGAGTTCTTAGGTTCACATTGCACTTCTTCATACTTCTCCGTAAAAGCTGGACAAGTGACCTACAAGTGAAAAAACACACACACATGGCTGCCATCCATTTTTAGAGCCCAAACCCATTGATGGACCGAACCCGCGCACATACCAATTTTGACTGGGGTCAAAATTTAGTTGGTGGGTCTTCCAAAGAATTGATTCATAGTGATTCCCAGCTGTCTGACATCTAGACTTATTATAGGATTTGTTGCATGCTCTAACATGTTTCTTACCCTAGAAGTCCAAAGACTATATTTTGACTGGGTGGAGTAAAGGAAGTTCCCTTTCAGGTCCCCTAAAGACCATTCTTTTTATAGTCTTTGATTCCCAGGGCTTATATTTGTTCAACATGCGCCGGGTCCTACCAAGCGTTGGTTCAGTCCGCCGGGCCCGCGTCAACCGTCAAAAGGTGAAACGCGCTCCTTGGACGCGTTGCAAGCGGTTCACGCAGGACGGCCTGATACTGGTGAGCAGGCCGTTAAGTAGTAGCTTACAGAAGTGGGCTACCAGGGTGAGGCGAGCTGCGCCTGCGATCCGACATGATCTTCTGTTGGAATACGCTACGTCCTTCGTGACCCTTTAAGATCCCAAGGGTGTGGCCACAATCTGAAGGCCTCCTGGATATGAAGGGTCACCACCTTTTTGACGCTCCTTCGTTCGGTCAGTCACGAACCGAAGAAGCGACCTGAGCAAGCGACTGAAGGAGCGACAAAACTCACCCTTCTTGACGGCTTTCCAAAAGAGGTAGCCAGTGACCGTAAATAGGACCCGGAAAACCTGGGGTATCGAACTGGGATAGTCGAACTAGGGTCCTTCAACATCTGCTGGTTGATGAGAAAAAGGCCATATTTGGGCTGGGCTGGGTGATCCCGAGGTCCTTTCAGGTTCCCCCCCCCGGTGGTCATGAGGTCATTCGGATCGGAAGTCAGGCCCTGACAAGACGTGTTTTTTCAAGCATTGGCATTGGCCTTTCACCGGGCGGATGTTTCCCTCGGTCGGCTGAGTCGGCTGAGTCGGCTGGATGGTTTCCAGACAGGTTAGACCAATCCGAGAGAAGCCATGGGTCGATGATCCTTTTCCCCTAGAGTTCCCCGCACCCTGGTGTCATCCGTCCTCAGCCCCCCATCATAGGGGGTAGGCTAGGGAGGAGCTATGCCGCGCTTGCACTCTTGGCTTCGACGCAATCTCAGGCGACCGCATCTAGATCCTCAGAGCTGTTGCTCTTCAAGTCCACGTCGGAGCCATCAATGGACGCCTCGGAGTAGCACAGCAGCTTCTCCTCGGCCGAGGCCGAAAACCCCCACTTCTGCTTGTCTGGATGGGAGGTCGGGGATGGCAGAAGGGGTGTCCAATCGTAGCGCCTGAGAGGTACCGTACTCCACAAACGTACAAAAGTTGCATCCTGGAAAAGTTTAGGTCAATTCCCCGTATCAGCCAACGGTTCCATCTTGTATGTCATGGCGCTATTTGCACAAAATCGTTAAAATCACATAACATGGCTGTTGTCACACATGGGCATTCTTGTGTAAATACCAGTGCCAGTGCGAAACAAAGAATAGAACAGTTGCATCCTGGAAAATGTTGGCCGGTTTAAAGCAACTTCAAGAAAATCGGGGGCAAACATGACCGAATTTCTCGCGCATGCCAGCACGAATCACAAAACAAAACATAGAAAAGTTCAGATGATATGATGATGTCAAACTTCTAGATCTCTCTAGGCCTGCAACTCTTTAATGGCCGAGGCCGACGGGCTGACAGTTTTCCAGAATGTTGACGGTCAAAACGGGCTATCATTTTCCAGGAGCTTTACTTACGTCCTGGAAACACGTTTCTATCTTTTCAGGGGCCACTACAAGGGTTGTCCATTGGGTTGTCCATTAGCCACCACTTAGGGGTGCCGTGGTAGAGACGTCTCTTCCATGCCACTCCACCGGTCGGGAATGCATCACCCAAATCCAAGCGGAGTTTTGTCAGCTATACCA